TTTTTTATTAAAGTGTAAGAGGTCGGCAGTTCATACAGGAACATTTAAGATTACAAAAACCCTAATTACATAAATTATAATTTAACTGTAAAATAAAAGAAATAAAACATATTTCCTTCTTTTCATTCATAAATAAAACAACTCAACACAAGCTCATCTTTGTATTAACTCTTTTGGACTAAAGGACGTGACTCAGTGGAACATGAGGATGAGCTGCTGCTGCTGCTGCTGCTGCTGCTGCTTGCTGCTGATGCTCTTGTCTGTAAACGGTGGAAAAGTTTCGTGGGGCTTGAAGCTTTTCACTGGCACCAACGTTGGGCGTTCAGGGCGACAGTGACGAGTGAACGAGACACGAACGAACAAAATCAGGGAAGCGGAGATGACGAGCGAGAAGATAAACAAGCGAAGCGGCGAAATCTAAATTGGATATAAACATTATATCGATATATACGATATGTCAGAATTCATATCCAGTAGAGATGCGCGGATTGCGGTTGTAACCGCGGTATCCGCGGTTAATCTGCGGGTCGGGGGGATGACGTGATGAAAAATTATATTTTAATTAAATTCGGGCGGGTGGCGGTTTAACTACTAAAAAAAAAAAAAAAAAAAGTTCTTGTTAGTATTGTTACGTACATGTGAAAAGACGAGTGTCATTGTCTGTGTTTGTATGAAGTGTACGTCATGTCCTTAATTAGTCCATTTGACCTGTTTTTATGTTCTGAAGGTTCAGGTTGTGTTGGGTTATTGATGCCTAAGGTTTACGAGGCACATTTTATATGCAGTTTATTTTATTATTTCTAATTTATTTCAGCTGTTTGCCAACACGTAAGTGACTATAGGTACATATTTATTTAGTTGCATATTTTTTCTTGCCTATTTCAGTTGGAATATAAAGAGGGCATTGCCTGATTTCAATAAAGGTTCATCTGGATGAGATGATCTGTCTGTTTTGTTTCGATATCAGATATATTTTAAAACACGCAGACATTATAGCGTCGACTGCCACTCGGGGGATTTAAAACTTAAAGAAAGACCGATGGACTGAGGCTATGACTTTGAAATAACATTGGGCGATGGCAGAATGTTCAGAATGTAACAACATCCAACACGAAGGCAAGAAGGTTCAAAAACAGCCTCGTCGGAAAACGTCGTCAGTTAATTAGCTGCGCAAGAAAACCAGGTAAGTCCGGGTTTGTTATGGACAATTAAGAATGTGAACAAACACGCTGAGCCAATGTTGGAATGAATGAGCTGTAGTTTGCATTTTTATCGAGGCTCCTTAGTTTGTTTGCTGTATGATTGATCTAAAATCTAAAATCAATGGGCGGATGGCGGCGGGTGCGGTTTTGAAAACCTTCGGTACAAAATGGACAGCGGCGGATGATGAGTTTTGTGTCGCGGTTGCGGATGAAAAAATAGCCCATCAACAACATCACTAATATCCAGTTTAAAAACTATCTCGATATATTTAAAATATCGATATATCGCCCACCCCTACACAACACACACACAGTTTACACACACACACACAGTTTACACACACACACACACAGTTTACACACACGCACACACACACAGTTTACACACACACACACACACACACACACACACACACAGTTTACACACACACACACACACACACACACAGACACACACACACACAGTTTACACACACGCGCACACACACACACAGTTTACACACACGCGCACACACACACAGTTTACACACACACACGCACACACACAGATACACACACAGTTTACACACACACACACGCGCACACACACACAGTTTACACACACGCGCACACACACACAGTTTACACACACAACACACACACACTTTACACACACAACACACACACACTTTACACACACTTTACACACACAACACACACACACTTTACACACACACTTTACACACACTTTACACACACAGACAGTTTACACACACACACACACACACACACACACACACACACACAGTTTACACACACACACACACACAGTTTACACACACACACACACACACACAGTTTACACACACACACACACACAGGGCTCGTGGTCGTACCGGGGTCGGACTCGTTCCCGGGACTCTCGGTCTCCAGTTCGTCGCTCAGACTCTTGGAGCTCGTGGGAGGAACTCGGCCGATGTTGTGAAAGTCGTTTAACTCAGACTGAAGCTCGTCGATTCGATCCTGCAGCTCCTACAAAACAAAAACAGCGGAGTAAAGACACGTCCTCGCAAGTGTGGACGGAGGACGGACGAGACGTGTCTCCAGGAGCGTGGACGAGCCTCACCCTGCACTGAGCCTCGTAGCTCACGTGAAGCTCTTTGATTCTTTCTTCTTGCAGAAAAAACTCTGCACTGCCGGGGTCCAAGTCTCCAAACTGAGAATGATTCAAAGTTATTTTTCACAATTAAAAAATAAAAACATGTATATATATTCATGTTTGTTTTGGTACCTTCTCCTTCATGATGTTGTCCATGTTTGTCTGGAGTTTTGTGATTTGGTTTTCAGCTTCTACGAGTTTTTCGGCCGTGTCCAGCAGCTCCACCTCCAGACGACGGTTCTCCTGAAGAACAAACGATAAAGTGATTTGAGTTTGACTTTAGAAACGTAAAAAAACAACGTCACAAAAACCTCAACTCAGGAACATCTGACTTTTGTTTTTGTTTAAAGAGACGGAGCTCCTGGATTCAGAGCCTCAGAGTCCAAACACGACGCTCCTCACCTTCACGCAGATGGACAGGTGTGTGGTTCCTCACCTTCACGGAGATGGACAGGTGTCTGGTTCCTCACCTTCACGGAGATGGACAGGTGTCTGGTTCCTCACCTTCACGGAGATGGACAGGTGTCTGGTTCCTCACCTTCACGCAGATGGACAGGTGTGTGGTTCCTCACCTTCACGGAGATGGACAGGTGTGTGGTTCCTCACCTTCACGCAGATGGACAGGTGTCTGGTTCCTCACCTTCACGGAGATGGACAGGTGTCTGGTTCCTCACCTTCACGCAGATGGACAGGTGTGTGGTTCCTCACCTTCACGCAGAGATGGACAGGTGTCTGGTTCCTCACCTTCACGCAGATGGACAGGTGTGTGGTTCCTCACCTTCACAGATGGACAGGTGTCTGGTTCCTCACCTTCACGGAGATGGACAGGTGGTGTGTGGTTCCTCACCTTCACGCAGATGGACAGGTGTCTGGTTCCTCACCTTCACGCAGATGGACAGGTGTGTGGTTCCTCACCTTCACGGAGATGGACAGGTGTCTGGTTCCTCACCTTCACGGAGATGGACAGGTGGTCTCGGAGGAAGGACTCTTCTTCTCTGATCTTCTGGACCTGGGCCTGGAGCTCGTCCCTCTGAGCTGCAGCCTGAACCTGGATCTGCTCCATCTCCTGCATCAGCTCCGAGCGCAAAGAGCTCAGCCTCTCCCTGTGCTCCTGCTCCAGCTTCCTGCAAACACACAACACACACAAATAAACACACAACACACACAAATAAACACACACACACACAAATAAACACACACACACACATTTAGAAACAAAAGAACCACAGTAGATGATTTAAAGCTCCTGAATCACACAAACTGACTCTGAGCTTTAAGTCACATTCTGATGTTCTGATGTTCTAATGTTCTGATGTTCTGATGTTCTGTTGTTCTGATGTTCTGATGTTCTAATGTTCTAATGTTCTGATGTTCTGATGTTCTAATGTTCTGATGTTCTAATGTTCTAATGCTCTGATGTTCTGATGTTCTAATGTTCTGATGTTCTAATGTTCTAATGTTCTGATGTTCTGATGTTCTAAAGTTCTGATGTTCTGATGTTCTAATGTTCTAATGTTCTGATGTTCTAATGTTCTGATGTTGTGATGTTCTAATGTTCTAATGTTCTGATGTTCTAATGTTCTAATGTTCTGATGTTGTGATGTTGTGATGTTCTGATGTTCTGATGTTCTGATGTTCTAATGTTCTGTCGTTCTGATGTTCTGATGTTCCTGTTCACACTCAGAGCTGGAGTTGTGTTTGTTTCTTTCACATATTTGAGTAACTCTTTATTATTCGTCTACATCTCCAAAGCTCCAGATGTTCTGTTCCACCTTTACAGTTTTCAGCAACTGCAGCTGCGCCGGATTCGGTTCCTGCTCCTGATCTTGAACCGACTGACGAGTTCACGCTGAAAATCAAAACGTTCAGGAACCGAAAAGTTGTTTCTCGACGGGAACAAAGTAAAACACACACGACACTTTTCACTTTAGTTCAGGAAAGATCAGCAACTCCAGAGCTGAAATGTTCCAGGTGATTCTAGTGAAGGTGTGTGGAGTTTAAAAACACAGTGGAGCACTTCCTGTATCATCACATGATGACATCATAAGGTGGAACAGAGTGTTTTCTGGTTGAGAGAAGAACTCAGTCTAAATCTGCAGACAAAAGCACAACTCCAGATGTTTGTGAAGAGGATCAGAAAATAAAACCGTCCCTTTAAACAGGTGAAAGTAAAAGAAGCTCTGACGCTGCAGAACGACGGTTTATAAAACTCACACCTGACGTTGAGTTTGTCGTTTGTAAAAGTTCAGACCTGAGGTTGAGTTTGTCGTTTGTAAAAGTTCAGACCTGAGGTTGAGTTTGTCGTTTGTAAAACTCAGACCTGAGGTTGAGTTTATCGTTTGTAAAAGTTCAGACCTGAGGTTGAGTTTGTCGTTTGTAAAAGTTCAGACCTGAGGTTGAGTTTGTTGTTTGTAAAAGTTCAGACCTGAGGTTGAGTTTGTCGTTTGTAAAAGTTCGGACCTGAGGTTGAGTTTGTCGTTTGTAAAAGTTCAGACCTGAGGTTGAGTTTGTCGTTTGTAAAAGTTCAGACCTGAGGTTGAGTTTGTTGTTGTGTTCGATGGTCGAGTGATGTTCGTCCACTTCTGTGGCCAACTGAGTTTTGAGTCTTTCTGTTTTCTCCAGGTCCGACTGGATCTTCTCCTTTTCCCTGAGTCCACGGTCCACACACGCTCTGGAAAAGACAAACGTGTGAAGAACATCAGGTCTACACTTCTACAGTTGTACAGTTGTTTTGTACAGTTCTAATGTTCTACAGTTTTCTGAAGATTATGGACAAGGTCCTTCAACATCACTATGTCACAGCTCCTCCTGTGAAGAGACGTCCACCTGTGTTTCTGCTGCAACCAGCGGCTCTCAAACTCTTCACACCAAGTACCACCAAAGAAAAGATTTGGCTTTTCAAGATCTAAACCAGGACTATTCCAGGGCTAATGTGGGACTAAACCCGGTCTAAACCAGGACTAAACCAGGACTATTCCAGGACTATTCCAGGCCTGAACCAGGACTATTCCAGGTCTGAACCAGGACTTTTCCAGGGCTAATGTGGGACTAAACCCGGTCTAAACCAGGAATAAACTAGGACTTTTCCAGGTCTGAACCAGGACTATTCCAGGTCTGAACCAGGACTATTCCAGGCCTGAACCAGGACTATTCCAGGTCTGAACCAGGACCTTTCCAGGGCTAATGTGGGACTAAACCCGGTCTAAACCAGGACTAAACTAGGACTTTTCCAGGTCTGAACCAGGACTATTCCAGGTCTGAACCAGGACTATTCCAGGCCTGAACCAGGACTATTCCAGGCCTGAACCAGGACTATTCCAGGTCTGAACCAGGACTATTCCAGGCCTGAACCAGGACTATTCCAGGTCTGAACCAGGACTTTTCCAGGGCTAATGTGGGACTAAACCCGGTCTAAACCAGGACTAAACTAGGACTTTTCCAGGTCTGAACCAGGACTATTCCAGGCCTGAACCAGGACTATTCCAGGCCTGAACCAGGACAATTCCAGGCCTGAACCAGGACAATTCCAGGCCTGAACCAGGACTATTCCAGGTCTGAACCAGGACTATTCCAGGCCTGAACCAGGACTTTTCCAGGCCTGAACCAGGACTTTTCCAGGCCTGAACCAGGACTATTCCAGGCCTGAACCAGGACTATTCCAGGTCTGAACCAGGACTATTCCAGGTCTGAACCAGGACTTTTCCAGGTCTGAACCAGGACTATTCCAGGTCTGAACCAGGACTATTCCAGGTCTGAACCAGGACTTTTCCAGGCCTGAACCAGGACTTTTCCAGGCCTGAACCAGGACTTTTCCAGGCCTGAACCAGGACTATTCCAGGTCTGAACCAGGACTATTCCAGGTCTGAACCAGGACTATTCCAGGTCTGAACCAGGACTATTCCAGGTCTGAACCAGGACTATTCCAGGTCTGAACCAGGACTTTTCCAGGTCTGAACCAGGACTTTTCCAGGTCTGAACCAGGACTTTTCCAGGTCTGAACCAGGACTATTCCAGGTCTGAACCAGGACTATTCCAGGTCTGAACCAGGACTATTCCAGGTCTGAACCAGGACGCTCTGTGGTCTGAACTCACAGCAGGTGTCTGATCTCGGCTCTGAAACTCGCCAGCGCCGCCTGCAGGACGCCGTTCCTCGTGTCCAGCAGCTCAGTCTCCAGGGCGAAGCTGAGGTCACTGAGGCTCAGTTTTCCCTCCACATTGAAGTTCAAGGCCTGGAGAACGGAGATTTAGTAGATACTTGTAATTTTATTCACATTTTGAAACACTTACACTGTTTCTCGTCTATGAAGCCTGATGCTTTTACAGAAGGTCTTAAAAAGTCTGACATCATTTCACAGGCCAATGATTTTGGAAATTCTTGTTGAAATAATCTCAAATTTCCACAGAATGTTTAGAAACAGATGAAGATTTGATATGTACAGTTTTATTTTTGTTGTTTTCAGAACAGAGTCGTACTGTCCCTTTAATCTTAAAACTTCTCAAACTTCAGACGGACTCAGACCTGCAGGATTTCTGTTCCGTTCTCGATTCCCTCCTGGGTCCACGAGTCCAGGACGTTTTCCACCGGACAGAATCCCGTCCCATCGTCCAACGCGGAGAAGAGACTCTGAGCGATGGAGCTGCTCAGGGCCGAGGGCGTCGCGATTCTGCGGCCGACCTCGTCGAAAGGCTGAAGAGAAACAACAGTTTTAAATTTAAATAAAGGAAGACAACGGTTTAAAGGTCTACTGTGTCACTTTCCTGTCAGAGGGGCCACACGGTCCTCGTCTCCAGAGGTGCTTTTGTTTTACCTCCAATATTCCAAAGTACGGCATTAAACTTTTCAATCTCCACAGAAACGAGCAGGAGTATTTTTGTGCAATAAAAACACCCAAAATTCTATAAATACATTGTAAATATTATAAGTTTAATATCATATTGTGGAACATTTCAGGCAAAGCAACAGCATCTCTATGACAACAAACCCCCAAACAGGACTAAACCAGGTCTAAACCAGGTCTAAACCAGGTCTAATCCAGGACTAAACCAGGTCTAAACCAGGTCTAAAACAGGACTAAACCAGGTCTAAACCAGGTCTAAACCAGGACTAAAACAGGACCAAACCAGGACTAAACCAGGTCTAATCCAGGACTAAAACAGGACCAATCCAGGTCTAAACCAGGACTATTCCAGGTCTAATCGTGCTGTAGCAGTTTGATATAAATGTTTACAACAAAAACAGAACTCGTACAAACCCTGGAAATCAGTGATTGTGTATTTTTTATTTTCTCATCTGTAAGTGAAAGTAGAAAGTATCGTGACTATCGTGATCACTCAGAACGAGACGAGACAGTGTCTAAAAATGATTCACCAATTCACAAATTTACTCGAGTAAATATGTGAATTAAATCATAAAAAACTTCAAAAAGATCTACAAATCTTTGACAATATCCAAACAAGAAACAAGTCGTGTTATTTCTCCAAGTTCCTCCTCTGTTATTACGAGAACTTGTCTTTCAAGATGAAATGTCAGTTCCTCTGATTTTATAAAATAAATGTTGTCAAAAATATGACTTATAGATGTTTTTTTCTTCTTTTTTGGCTGGAGCGACATAGTCCGGGAAAATACACTACATGAATTTCACAATTCAACTGCAAATTTTGGCCTCAGAGTTTTTAATTTCTTTGATTTAATATTTCTGTTTTGTTCCAGTCCATGTTTTTGAACTGTTAAAGTTACAACTCACCAACACCAAATCCAAATGTAAAACACAAACCTCATCAGGTCGTTTTTCTCATGTTCACAGAATCTTGAGTCAGTTTTGTCTCATGAGATGTTGTGGCCGGTGATTCCAGAGAGAAGTGACCTGACTGACCTGACTGGTGACCTGACTGACCTGACTGGTGACCTGACTGGTGACCGGACTGACCTGTGTGGAGTGCATTCTCTTGAGCTGCCTGTAGGGGGAGGCAGAGGGTGTGGGAGGTTTGTGTTGGTTTAAAACTCTGGAGACAAACTCCTGAACCGTCAGAGCGTCACAGCTCAGAGTCTGCAGCTCCTCCCCCGAAATCTGGAAAACACAAAACAGAAACAGAAACAGAAACAGAACAGAACAGATGAGGACGCGGCACAGATCAGGTCTGGTTTTTTAACGTGAGTCACAGATCACATGAAGAGGAAGCAAACGCACAAAAGCAGAAGCACATTTACAACTCAAACATTTACGTCTCAAACTCACAGGTAAAAGTCGGTTGTACAGAACAGGTCACTTCTCTGTTTTGTGGTTTTCTGAACATTGATCACGAGATTTTACAAATATTTCCATGGAGCAAAACGACACAAACTCCAAGTGTTTTATAAAGACAAACACATTTTAAACCATTTTCTGTCTGTTCTTCGTCCTTCGTCCTCGTTCACAGACTCTGCTCTGTGTGTGAATGTTTCTCATGTTTCTGTTCATTTCTACAAATGTAAATCAGTAAATCTCAGTGTTTATACAAACTGCAGTGTCACAGACAAATCTAATGTGCAAAATAAAATATAAAACACTTTTTGGAGAATTTATTAAATCAATAACAGAAGATTACATTTTACTTCCTTAAAGATTTTATTTACTTCCTCCTTTTCAGACACAAGTCAAATCTGCATAAGAATTACTTTTGTTTATTGTTATAGAAAAGAAGAATTTATTTTTATATTCTGTTTATCTGGATGTATTTTACATTTTCTCTAAATACACAAACCCCGAGTTTGGACTCACCTGGAGCCCGAGGCGTCGGCTCAGGCTGAGCAGATCCGCGTGAGTCGCCAAACCGTCCCAGGACAGAGCCAGGTCCTCACACGCCTCCAGAACCTTCTGCTCCAGACGCCCCGCCACAGGAGCACCCACACAACCCCGAGGAGTACCCGGCTCGTCAGGGTTCCACAGGAGCGACTGACCTACACAGACGAGAACAGAAGAACAAGAACAAGAACAAGAACATGAAGAACAAGAACATGAGAGAAGAACAAGAACATGAGAGAAGAACAAGAACATGTGAGAAGAACAAGAACATGAGAGAAGAACAAGAACATGAGAGAAGAACAAGAACATGAGAGAAGAACAAGAACATGTGAGAACATTTAACCACAATGATTTAAAGTCGAGACCTGAAATCGAGTTAATTTAAATACAGACGATTCATCATTTAAAGTAAAAAACTATAAAATTTATACAAAAATAAAATATTATTTATAATATTAAATTAAATTCTACCTTCAGCCTCATACTCCTCCTCTGTGCTCGTCTCGAGAACGTTCCAGCGCTGAAACACAAACACGAGAAGTTTCAAACTCACTGAGTTTATTTGTTTTTACTCATTTATTTAGTCTGAAGCTGCTCCTGTGTCTGTGTCTCCTGCAGAACATCCTGTTTCTGAGCTTCAGTCTTTGTTCTTCAGTTCAAATCTTGAAGAAGCTTCAGCTCATTTCACAAACATCATGGACATTTTCCTGAAGCACAGTTTGAGCAGCTTCAGCTTCAGTCTCTCATCATCATCCTCCTCCTCATCCTCATCATCATCCTCATCCTCATCCTCATCATCATCATCATCATCATCATCAGCCCGGTTCTGCTGCAGAAACTGTCACTAATGTTTCTGTCAGATCAAGAAAAGAAGAAGAAACTCCTCAAACTCCCTGATGTTCTTCTCTTCATGATCTGCTGGATGAAGGTCTTTGTCCCTCTGAACCTTAATTTTCCATCAGATCGTGAAGCTTCAGTTTCTTCTGTTCTTCTGTCACACTGGAGTGAAGAACATCAGGACAAACATTTCTTCACTCAAGGACCAAAGACGTCGCCTAAAACTGTTCAGTCTTTTTCTCCACGGCTGAAAGTTCAGACAAACTCTTGGTCTGAAAAAAGAACCTAGAAACATAAATGATCGTAAAACCAAATGAACCTCACTGGACGACTTCAGGCGTCAGTGTCTTTAGGTGCAGGTCGGTAAAAATATCGACCTGTGCTGGAGTTTTACGTTAGAAGATGAGTGAAAGATGAGATTTCTGAACTGTGAGATGTAAATGAGATGACCTCTGAGATTTTGAGATTCTGAGACTTAGAGGACAGAGTGAAAACAGGAGCAGTTTGGAGTCGTGACCCTCACACGATTCTTCACAACCAACAACTCAAAACCAAGTGTGGAAACAGCAGCAGATGGAGCCAGAACATGGGAAACTGGAGATGTTTAGTCCTGGTTTAGTCCTGGTTTGGTCCTGGTTTGGTCCTGGTTTGGTCCTGGTTTGGTCCTGGTTTGGTCCTGGCATTGTTGTTGTGGTGTGAGCAGCAGCTGGGACGCAGGAGTGTGTTGGAATCCAGCGGCCTGTGTGTGTGTGTGTGTGTGTGTGTGTGTGTGTGTGTGTGTGTGTGTGTGTGTGTGTGTGTGTGTGTGTGTGTGTGTGTGTGTGTGTGTGGGGTGTCGTCTTTTGTCCCCGGGCGTCTCCTCTGACCCTGCGCCATCTGCCGGTCCAGGCTCCAGACTTTGTCCTTTTGTTCAAACTCAGATCAGTCAAACCCGGGACACGAGGAACCAACAAACTCACAATACGAACAATAAAGTCTCATCTGAGAACGACCGCGACCGCGACCGCGACCACGGCGGCGGCGGCGGCGGCGACATGTGCGGAGTGTGGAGGAATCTGACGCAGCAGCTGGACGACTCAGGACAAAGAACGTGTGGAGGAACCAGAGTCAGAACGACCTCCACTTCACTCATCTGCAGTTTTATTTGAGCGATAAAAAACTCACCACAAAATAAAAAAAAATAGAAAGTTGAAACAGACGAGTCAGGGTGTAATTCTAAAATAATCTCCTGTGAACTTTAAGTCACGTTCTAATGTTTCCTCCTCAAAAACAAACCTGGAGTTGAGTTTCGTTTCACCTGCCACGTTTACATGAAAGATTTAATTCTGAATAAAAATAATTATTCAGAATTAAACTTAAATCTGAAGTAAGTTGGTGTTTTATTCTGTTTACATGAGGTTTTTTATAGAGCCCGACCGATATGGATTTTGCTGTGGCCGATATGAAACCGATATAATCACCGATATATTTAGTGATGTAAAAATTCACTGTAAATCTTGAATTGTTTAAAAAACTTAAGTTTGGCTCTAGTGGATTTTAAATTGGGTTTATTTAGGAAACATTTATTGTTATTTTGACTCTTTACATCATATTTACAGACAGTTGGACTAATGGCATTTTTGCATCACATTCTAGACACTAGTGATGGGGATTCCAGTTTTTTTTTTTTTTTTTGGAGAACCGGCTCTTTTGGCTCGACTCACTAAAGCAGTTGGCTCTTTCCAAGAGACTCTTGAGATTGTTTTGTTGCAAGCAGGACTAAACCAGAACTGAACCAGGACTGAGTGTCGGGACTCGGTCTCTATCTCTCTCCTTCACTCCAGCCCAAGTTTAGTCCTGGTTTATTCATTTTATGCTGAACTGCAGCCAAATATGCACTTTTTTAAAAAATCCTATGCACACGCAGATTTCTGAAAGTTTCGTTTTCAGCCGCTGCTGCTGTTAAACTACGGGTCGACATGCGACATGAAGAGAAAAAGTGAGAAAAAGAGAAAACACGGCTCCTGATAAGAAGCAGGCTCCTGTTGTTCGCTCTAAGAGCCGCTTCGATCACGACCCATAACTCCTGCTAGTAAATAAACTATCGCTATTAGCCTTTAGCCGTAAATGCTGCGCGCCGCGGTAGTTAATTATATGCATAAATGTGGATCATTCACACGTCTATTCACAGCTCATTTACATATCAATACTGGTCCAGTAACAAATATACGGCCAATATAATCACTTTACAATAGACCAATAGAAAACAGCCTGTTTATGTGCAGAGCTACAGCAGCTAACCGCTAACAAAACCTAAACTAGCTTCAAAGTCGACGTATTTCCAACACTCACTCACACAGGCTCCTCCCACATCACACAGGCTCCTCCCACATCACACAGGCTCCTCCCACATCACACAGGCTCCTCCCACATCACAAATCTGCACTAATAAATGTCCTTTTAATCCAGACTCAAACCGATTGTCCGTAAAAAGAAAATAATCTCAGTGTTTGGATCTGTGTCTGCAGGTGTAAACAAACACACGTGAGTGACGTGACTCTGTGGTGTGTTCAGGGACAGTACGGACACACACACACACACAAATTACACCACAGATAAATAGTGATGTGGAGCCACATATGAGGACATTTATCTGTCTGTAAATTGGATTAAATGAACAGAATGTAGAGAGTCTAAGCTTTATAACGACGTGTAACATGCCCATGTGAAATATCGGCCCCTATCAGCAAGTATATCGGCCGATAGCCGATATGTCTCCAGGTGCCCATATTGGCCGATAATATCGGCCAGCCGATATATCGGTCGGGCTCTAGTTTTTTATTCTGAATTCAAATCTTTTCGTTGTTGTTTCCGTGTAAATAATGATGTTTCTTGGTGTTTGGTGTTAAACTGCTCAGATGTTTCAGATGTTTTTGTTTCGTGTGTGTGAGCGTCTGGTTCTGATTGGACAGAAACACCAACAGATTTAAACACAAACTTCAGACGCTCCCGACTTTTCTGTCGTCTGGTTTGTGGTTCCTCCACCGACACAAACACCGTCCAGACTTTTACACAGTCTAAAACCAGGACTAAACCAGGACTAAAACCAGGACTAAAACAGGACCAAACCAGGACTAAAACAGGACTAAAACCAGGACTAAAACCAGGACTAAACCAGGACCAAACCAGGACTAAAACCAGGACTAAAACAGGACTCGATAAGGTCTAAAAACAGGACTAAACCAGGACTAAACCAGGACCAAACCAGGACTAAAACCAGGACTAAAACAGGACTCGATAAGGTCTAAAAACAGGACTAAACCAGGACTAAACCAGGACTAAACCAGGACTAAACCAGGACTAAACCAGGACTAAACCAGGACTAAACCAGGACTGGACTGAACCAGGTCTAAACCAGGACTAAACCAGGACTAAACCAGGACTAAACCAGGACAAACCAGGACCTAAACCAGGACCAAACCAGGAAACTAAAACAGGACTAAAAAGGACTAAAACCAGGACTAAACCAGGACTAAACAGGACTAAACCAGGACTAAACCAGGACTAAACCAGGACTAAACCAGTCTAAACCTAAACCACCAGACTAAACCAGGACTAAAACCAGGACTAAACCAGGACTAAACCAGGACTAAACAGGACTAAACCAGGAAAACCAGGACTAAACCAGGAAAACAGGACTAAACAGGACTAAAACCAGGACTAAAACCAGGACTAAACCAGGACTAAAACCAGGACTAAAACAGGACTAACAGGACTAAAACAGGACTAACAGAAAACCAGGACTAAACCAGGACCAGGACTAAACCAGACTGACTAAAACAGGACTAAAACAGGACTAAAAAAAAAGACTAAAAAAGGACTCTATAAGGACTAAAAACAGGTCTAAACCAGGACTGAGACCAGGACTAGACCAGGACTAGACCAGGACTCTATAATGTCTAAAACTGAGCTGCTCGTGTCTTTTCTGTCGTCTGAGTTTGTGGTTCCTCCACCGACACAAACACCGTCCAGAACATTTGGACCCGACGTGGTTCTGATGAGAACTGGACAATCGTCTCATCAAACTTTCCGTCTGTGAGTCGAGGAGGAGAAGGAGGAAGAAGAAGACAAAAGCTCAGCCCACATCCCACATCCCACATCCCACTCACAAATCCAAAGAGACATGGAATCAAAGTCAGACCAGGACCAGACCAGGACCAAGACCAAGACCAGACCAAGACCAAGACCAGGACCAAGACCAAGACCAAGACCAAGACCAAGACCAAGACCAAGACCAGGACCAAGGACCAAGACCAGGACCAAGACCAAGACCAAGGACCAGGACCAGGACCAAGACCAAGACCAAGGACCAAGGACCAAGACCAGACCAGGACCAGGACCAGGACCAGGACCAGGAGGAGGAGACGAGGAGCCTGAAGCACCAGCAGCATTTGAACAACAACAAACCACAAACAGGATCCAGGAAACAAACTCAGTCACATTTAACATCACAACAAAACAAACTCTTACTTCAATATTAAGTGTTTACAAGGACTTTTTAAAGACAAATCCAGTTTATTCAGATTTAAATCTCTCGTGTAAACGTGTCAGATGATGTGGGCGTTGAAACTGTTGTGATGAGTCTGAGTCTTTAAGCTGCAGCGACAGAGAAAAGTCAAGAGTCACTGAAGGACAAGAAACAGA